GAAAAACGAAGAGAATGTAAGTACTCTGCCCTTTATGATACGTAACCCTAAGCGGGAACAGCTGTTTACGTTCACTCTCATGCACCAATAACACAATCTCTGTACTAATTCCCTCAACAAGAAGAAAGCCCTTGACTCATCATAGCCCCAGACCAGGTTTCTAGGTTCGTTCATCCACCCAAAACAAGAGGACACACCCTTCATCACGGAGCCTTAGGACAAACCCACACCCTTGACAAGGGGTGAAGGGTCTGAGTGAAGTCTTCGAATTCCCAGTCCCAGAAATCAAGTACGTTTGCTTCCAACAAGTAGGTTCCTTCGGGAAATTTGTCTTTTAGCAAAATAACAACATGTGTGTCATGGTGGCATTACTTCTGTGGGTCATGGCATGGAACCCTTAATGAATTGGAACACTTGTGATACTTGACTGAAATCCGATATTTGTCAACAGTTCTAATGGCATGTTTTGACAAGCGTACATGAGGTAACAGGTTGTTCCGACATCCCTGGTAGAAGGGTAGGACACATGGTTCCTGAAATGGAAACCAAAAGGAACCTAACCAGATTGGAAACTGAGGTTTGGTCAGCTTCACGCAGCAACCCTGCTCAAGGAATGCAGGAAAGCAAAATTCGACGGCATCATAGATTTCTTTACGGTTTCTCCTTGGCACAGACCAAAACGGGTACATGGGATACACTCTGTCGCTTGAAAGCTCGGAGCCACCCTGCAAGGCACCAAAAGCAAACCAAAATCCCAACCCCAGCAACCAGGCCTTCTGACCACATGCAGTGCGCATGGCTATGAAAAGCATGCCTTTCCGCAAAAAGGGATTCGCCTGGACATTGCCACAAACATAAATGCGAAACAAAACAATTGTCTGCGACTCACATGGCTAAGACTGTGGGAATACTTGCAATTCAGGGGTTGATTCCCCATTCTTTTCGACCATCGTTCCTTTCAAAAACCGGCTGTTTCCCCTGCTGGGTTTTGATGGTTTCCTGAAAAGAAGGATCCCTGGAAAGAATGGCGAAGGTACCCCAGGACGGTCATTGCGAGGACCTTTCGAAGCTCGCGGATTGATCTGGGCGCCACACGTTGCCGCGCCTGCAGCCGCGCCGCGGCAGCGTCTTTGGCCTACAATCGGATCAGTTTTTGCTTGTTGCTTGCTGGTGCTCAGTGATGTTAAATCCCGGATTAATAAACCCCTGGTTGATTTTGATCGGGGGGTGTCCCCTTTTAGTGAGGATTCCTCACTTTTGGAGGGAACACACCCCTAATAGTGGGACGGGTTTATTAATCCTGGGTCAACATTAGGGAATGAGGGAAAGGTAACCAAGAAGAACACCATGTTGGGGTCCCCGATGTTTATGCCTACCGAAGTGAGTTGCTTGACGGCTGACAAGCATGCTATGGAATTCAAACCTGTATCAGCAGCACTGACCTATGACGTCCATGCGAGCTGTTGCACGAAACCCGCTCCAACATCAGGAAAACAAGATGCACCACTGCAGGTAGCGCCATGGTACTAGTTTTAGTTGTTGTGTGTCCAAACAATTTTAGGCTTTCTGGGCCTACATGCACGACGGGTAAGGAGAAAGGCTTGATGGAACATGAGGCACATTAATGTTGCCCCAAAATCCCGCTGTTGGGCAAGTTGGGGAGGCAACATTTCTGAGCATTCGTCCAATTTCAGCCCAGCGCGGAAGCCTTAATGGAGCAATGCCAACACGGTGACTAGGGCAACGTCCTAGGCAAGCAACTAGAACAACCTCCCTTCAAGCAATCTGCAAGATGAGCAGTTGCCCAGCCTTCATCTTTGGGAACAGCAAAGGCGCCTTGTTTTTCGCGTCCACTAGGTTGGTCAGATACCCACTATGGGGCCACATCAACGGCAAATCTACACAAGTCTGACTCTTGATTTGCGACCCCGGACCCCATTGATGAAGGCTTCTTTCATAGCGATCTATTGTTTTCGGTTCTAAGATCGTCTCAGCCCCCTGCTGCTCGCGCGGGGGCGCGGTCTCGCTTCACCTCGCAGGTGGCAAATAGCGGGCTACGCCCTGTCTCCAAGTCTCTGGACAACTTGAAACGTGTTGGACTTCAAAGTACAACTACTTTTTCCAGGCCTGAAGAAACTTCAAACGCTTCAAAAAGTGGTGTATTCTCTTCTCAGGGTTCTCCAAGTTCAAAAGCTTGGCTTGGAAGCGAAACTGTCTGTTTTCGACTTTGACAGACCTGGAAAACTGCCAAACTGAGTCCAACGGTACTCTGACCTTAGGCTTTGGAGCACCACTTGGGCGAGGTTCTTAGAAGCGAAGGTTGTCAAAGGTTCTTTTTGTTTAATAAAAACATATAAAAACCATAGAAAGTGCAAGCTCAGAGTGTCCTGTTCTGTAGTTTAAAAGGGGTCTTCACTCCAAGCAGCGCAAAGGGGAAAGCTCAAATTGGCACACAAGCATTGTGCAACCAAAGCGAGCAGCTGTTCGGCGGTTGGCTGTGAACCGAGTTTTTGGATGCAGCGAAAGCAGACCTCTGCGAGTGCTGGGATTTCCGTGAGCCAATGCTGCATGGGCCATCGGAGAGGCTGACACGTATGCTGAGGAGCCGGCCATGGCCGAGAAGTCGGCTTTTTCGATCGGAGCCTGGCGAGCATAGCTCACTTTGAGAGGTCCACAAGCTGCTGGTGAAGCTTGGACTATGCACAACCATCCCCCATCAGCGGATGCAACCCACTTGGTTGAAATACGACTGCACCCTCGGCCCATCAGATTCAATCCTTCATTGAGATTCATAAATATCTGATCAAGTTGAAACCACCAACCATGACGTGATTCACGTTGCGACAATTTGGCCAAGGTTGATATGATTCCCAATTTGGACACAAGGAAATCCTTAACTTAATGTCACATCTGCGAGCTCGTGTTTCCCAAGTAAGCTCGCTAAATTGTCACGCTGATTACACACACGAGTCGTGGACAATAATATATTGCTTGCTTCCCCCAAGCGACATAGGAATATCCTATTGCCGCTTTGGTTTTTGTGAGGAACTTTGCGCGGTCTCTCCATGTCGTCCCCAAACCGACAGTAGACTAGCGATATCACAGAGACCAGCAAGAGTCCACAGGAAATTGGCAGCAAATTCCCCAAAACAAGCTGTGTCCACTAGATTTTCCATGTTTTGCTGGTTTCCACCATATTGTCCCCATGTTTTGCTGGTTTCCACCAGATTTTCTCCATGTTTTTGCTGGCTTCTTAGGGCATTGGCGTCAGTGAGTGACTCAAAACCCCCCCTCATGGCACGGAGTTTAGGTCTTCCTCTGCCTCGGCTTCGGCTTCCTCCGCGGACTCGGCTTCGGCCTGCAGGAGAATACATCGATCGGGAACGTGGACAGGAAGCAATAGGGTGCGGATTTATGTTGTTTTGTTTGGCTTTAGGGTTTAGGGATTAAGGTTTAGGGGTGTCTCTTTTTTAAAGTGTTTCGTCTTGGCCAGTAAAATACCCCTCCGAAACAATATCACAAAGGTCTATGGTGAAGGTCCTTAAACAAATATACGGTGGGGGTGGCTTCTCTTGCTCATTCGGGTCCTTTTGGAACCTGAGGCAATATCAAGAGTTGCCTCTGGAAATCCATTTTGAGGTTTGCCCTCCATGTATTGACCAACGAGCAGAAGAAGCAGCATGCTGATACACATGGGTGCGTGAGAAGGTGTACTTGCTGGTTCAAAGTGCATGTGCACCCAGAATCGACAGCAAACCCAACGCAAGCTGCAGCAGCAGAAGCAGCAGTAACAACAAAAGCAGCAGCAGCGGCAGCAGATGTCGTAGCGGCTTCGTTGCGTAACGCAAGTAAAGAATCTCGAGCGCATGTCCGTTTCGAATTGCTTGTCCGCGCGAAGCAAACAAGCGCAGCACCAAATGCAAGAGGCGAGCGTCGCTTGCGACTCGAAG